AGATGGCATATGAACCTCAACTGCCCCAAGCCTCTTTGGGTCTGCTGTTCTATGGCACCCGTGCATGTGCATCTGAAATAAACTTGTGACATTTTTCTCCTGATAACCTGTCTAATATTAATCTAATCATAAGTCCAGAAGAACTTAGAGAGGTGGGAGGAAATTGTATTTTCCTGCTTCCACACCTGGAAACTTGCTAGAAGTACCACATTTTCAGACCCCACCTCAGACCTACTGAATCAAAAACTCAGGAGGTGGATCCCAACAACCTGTTTGAACAAGCTCTTCTGGCAAGTCTAATACACACTAAAGTTGGAAAACTACTGGTTTAGCGTAAAGTCAGCTTTGCAGTTCATCGAGAAGTAATGGTCTGCCTGGTGGCTCAGTTGATTGGAGCGTCTTCCACACATCAAAAGGGTTGCAGGTTCAATTCCCGGTCAGGGCACATACCTAGGTTTCAGGTTCACTCCCAGTGAGGTAGCCTAAGGGAGGCAACCAACCCATGTTTCTCTCTAATATGGATGTCTCCTCTCTCTCTCTCTCTCTCTCAAATCAATAATAATCTATATATAAAAGCCAAGCGACCGAACAGCAGAACGACCAGAATGACCAGTGGCTATGACACCAACTGCGGCCCAACTGGCCGATGGTGGGGTGGCCCCTCCCCCCTGTGGTCCCCCACCCCACCCTGATCAGTGATTCTAAGTAAGTAAACGCTCTCCAGCCTTCATAGACCAGGCACCTGAATGATGAGTGATCAGGAGGAAAACTGCTCACGGTCTGGACCATCAGTCAGGTGTCCAGGAGAGGTGCCCAGCCAACCACCATCTTCCCCGCCCCCGACTGCCCCCCACCCCAATTGGGGGCAGGTGGCAGGACCCCATGCATGGGGCCTCTAGTAATAATAATAATAATAATAATAAAACATCCTCGGGTGAGGATTTTAAAAAGTCATGGACTGAATCCTTGTTAGGCATCAGGATATAAATGGAAATTGTTAACCTGAATATTTATTTACTTGTGCCAGGCACTCTTCCGGTGTCACCTTATTGACTTCCCACAATAACTCTACACGATGGCTGCCTTTGTTCTGTTTTGTTGAGGAGAGTTAAACTGCAGTCAGATTTATTCCCACAAGGAGACCAAACTCTCTTTAGGTGTAGCATTTTTAATATAAAAGCCTGATTGGGTAGAAGCACGCGCAGGGATCGCAAACTTTGTGTCCAACACCCTCTGCTGGCCAGTCCCCGCCGCCAGCCGGACACAGGCGCGTTGCCGTGGAGACAGCCCAGCCCGGGCCTCGCGAGGCGGAGGGCGGTTGAGGAAGTGCGGGCGGAAGCGGGCGGGGCTGGAGCGGCCGAGTGACGGTTGGCCGGTTTTACCGAAGTGACTGGTACCTCGGGGTGGGGAGAAAAGGGAGGTGCCTGGTGCCATCCATTCGGGCGAAGGGGGAGGAGAGGGGGGAGAGGCAAGGGGAGGGCGGAGAGCAGAGGCACCGCGCGGAGGCGGGGAGATGCGGAGAAAGGGCGGGGCGAGAAGAGGCCGGGCGTGGAGCCCATTGAGTCCAGAGCGTGGAAAGGGGTGGTGAGCGGAGGGGGTGAGACGAAAAGGTGATAGCCCCGTCATTGAATGAAGATAGGTGCAGGGCCAGGAGAGATCGAAAGGCAAAGTCTCTAAGGGACGGGGCGAGGCGTAGGCTCGGGAAGAGCAGCTGGTCCAGGTCCAGGGGGAAAAGATCGCTGATAAGGGGCAGGTCGAGGAACTGGGAGCAAAGGCAAATCGGGAAGCAAGCTCTGGGTGAGAAACGGGAGGGGACAGGGAAAGGGGCGGGCGGGGCGGGGCGTGGAGAAGGTCCAAGACCGGGAGCGGGCGGGCTAGGTACAGGATCCCGTGAGCAGGCAAGATTCGAACGAGGAGAAAGGGGCGATACGAAAAGAAGTGGGCAGGCGGGCCAATAAGTGGGGATGAGGCGAGTTGCAGGTGCAGGTGCAGGTGCGAGATCTGGGGGAGTAGCAGGACTGGGGGGGGGGGGGATAGGTGGGACGCAGCCAAAGCGAGAAACAGAGACCGGATGCAGGGCAAGTGTAGAGCAAAAAACAAGGATGGTGCAAGGTTGAGGGGAGCGATGAGGAGGTGGAGCGAAACCAGGAGCGGGGGCGTGGCCAGGAGCGGCGGTAAGGGCGGGACCCGGAGAAACAGCGGAGGTGGGATCTCGCTTCCCAGTAGAAGCAGGACCTGGGGCATCAGCGAGGTCTGGAGCAGAAGCGGAGCCCAGAGCAAGAGCAGCGTGGGGGCCAGAAGTCCTAGCAGAGGCGAGGCCCGGAGCAGGTGGGGGGGCCAAATGCAGGAGCTGGGCGAAGCAAGGACAGAGGTGGGATCTCAGAAGGTGGCCCTGGAGCGCAGTCTTGCTAGCGGGTGTTGACTCCTGCATTCTCCAGGTTCCAGCCACGCTGCGCGCTGCCCCGTGATGAACCCTGCTGGCCCTTCCTGGCCGAGACTCCGAGTCCTGTGGGTGCTGTGGTCACTGATGGCGGTGCTGTTGTCACCGTGGAGGCTGTGGGCTGTCGAGGATAACCAGGAGTGCACCTGGCAGGTTGTCCTGAACAAGTTCGAGACGATAGGCAAGAACCATGGGAGTGACCGCTTCTTTGAGCAAGAACCCCTGGACACAGTGGACAATTTGTTTGGTCTTCTGGTGGACGCGCCTATCGACCCGGAGGAGGTGAGGGGACTGGGGTCAGGTGAATGGGAGAGGTCCTGGAGGTGCATCTGATTGGGCTCTGGACATTTGCCCAACCTCTCCTTGCAGAAATACCTGGGCTTCCCTTACTACCTGAAGATCAACTACTCCTGCAAAGGAGAGGTGAGTGTTTGCAGCTCGAGCGGGCTCATTCTGTGTGAACCTCAGTTTCCCTTTTTCTAGCTTTTTAATGGTAGTGGCACCACCAAACCCTAGGAGCCCTTAAGGATTCACAACCATTGCCAGAGCCCCACCAGGCACATAGTAAGTGCTCAAGTAAGCCTTTTTTTTTTCTCATTAAAAAATTAAGATATAGCCCTAACTGGTTTTGCTCAGTGGATAGAGCATGGGCCTTCGGACTGAAGGGCCCCGGGTTAGATTCCAGTCAGGGGCATGTACCTTGGTTGCGGGCACATCCCCAGTAGGGGGTGTGCAGGAGACAGCTGATCGATGTTTCTCTCTCAGCGATGTTTCTGACTCTCTATCCCTCTCCCTTCCTCTCTGTAAAAATCAATAAAATATATTTAAAAAATTAAGATATAATTCACCTGCCATAAAATTCATCATTTAAAATGTACAAGCCAATAATTTTAGTGTATTCACAAACTTGTGTAACCATCACCACTAACTCTAGAACATTTTCATTACCTCAAAAAGAAACCCTGTACCCTCGCCCCTCCAGACCCTGGAGACCACATTCTGTCCCTATGAATTTGCTTATTTCAGGCAGGCAGTACAATATGTAGCCTTTTATGTCTGGCTTCTTTCACTTAGCATGTTTGTTTGTTTGTTTGTTTTTGTTAATCCTCACTGCAGGATATTTTTTCCATTGATTTTTAGAGAGAGTGGAAGGGAGAGAGGGAAGAGAGGAGAGAAAGAGAGGAATAGAGAGGGGACATCCATGTGAAAAAAACACACCCATTAGTTGACACCTACATATGCCTCGGATTAACCTGCAACCCAGGTACGTGAACCTTGACAGGGAATCAAACCCTTGACTGGGAATCGAACCCACGGCCTTTCTGTCCTAGGGCTGAAGCTCTAACCACTAAGCTACATTTTCAAGGCTCATCCATGTTATTGCATCTATCAGTATTTCCTTTTTATGGCTGAATAATATTCAACTGTATAGATTTTTTTAATCCATTAATTTATAAACATTTGTGTTATTTCCACTTTTTTGGCTGTTCTGAACAATGCTGCTATGAACATTTGTGTACAGATTTTTGTGTAAACATGTTTTCAATTCTTTCGTATATACTTAGGAATGGAATTGCTTGGTTATATGTTAACTCCCTTTCACTTCTGAGGAACTGCCAGATTATTTTCCAAAGCAGCTGTACTACTTTACATTCCTATCTATGAGGGTTCCTGTTTCTCTTCATCCTCAATTGTCTTTGTCCACCTTTTTTATTATAGCCATCCTAGTGTTATGAAATGGTATCTCATTGTGGTTTTGATTTGCATTTCCCTCATAACTAATGATTTTGAGCATCTTTTCATGTACTCTTTGGACATTTATCTACTTTTGGAGAAATGTCCATTCAGATCTTTTGCTCGTTTAAAAATTGAGTTGTCTTTTTATTGTTGTGTTGTATAATTTCTTAATATATTCTGATACTAGTTCCTTATCAGATGTATGATTTGCAAATATTTTGTCACAGTCCATTGGTTGTTTTTTCACTTTCTTTTTTTTATTAATTTAATTTATTGGGGTTGACATTGGTTAATAAAACTATATAGATTTTAGGTGTGCAATCCTATAACATCAGTTATATTGTATTGTGTGTTCACCACCCCAAGTCAAGTCTCCTTCCATCACCATTTACCCCCCTTACACTCTCTTCTACCTCTCCACCTTTCCCTCTTGGTAATCACCATGCTGTTGTTTGTGTCTATGAGATTTGTTGTTGTTGTTGCTTAATCCTTTCACCTTTCCCACCCAACCCCCTGTCCTCTGACAGCTGTCAGTCTGTTCTCTATTTATGAGTCTGTCTTTTCACTTTTTTGATGGTGTCCTTTGAAGCACAAAAGTTTTATGTTTATTGAGATATAATTCACATACCATAAAATAGCACAAAGTTTTAAATTTCAATGAAGTCCAATTTGTCTTTTTTGTTGTTGTTGCTTGTGCTTTTGGTATTGTCTAAGAAGGCTTTGCCTAACCAAAGGTCATGAAGATTTACTCCTATGGTTTTTACTAAGTTTTTAAGTTTTAACTCTTACATTTAGGTCTTCAAAATATTTGGAATTAATTTTTGTATGTGGTTTGAGGTAAGAAACCAACTTTGGCCCTAGCTGGTTTGGCTTTGCGGATAGAGTGTTGGCCTGTGAACTGAAGGGTCCCAGGTTCAATTCCGGCCAAGGGCATGTGCCTGGGTTGCGGGCTCGATACCCAGTAGGGGGTGTACAGGAGGCAGCTCATCAATGATTCCCTCATCATTGATGTTTCAATCTCTCTCTCCCTTTCCTTTCCTCTCTGAAATCAATAAAAATCTATTTTAAAAAATAAAATAAAATATTTTTAAAAAGAATCCAACTTTGACATGTAAATACCCAATTATCCCAGTACCATTTGTTGAAAATGTCATTCTTTACCCCAGTAAAATGTCTTGGCACCCTTGTCAAAAATCAATTGACCATAAATGTAAGGGTTTGTTTTGGGGTATAATTCTATTCCATTGTTCTATATGTCTATCCATATGCTGGTATCACATGGTCTTGATTACTATAGCTTTGTATTAGGTTTTCAAATTGGAAAGTTTGAGTTTTCAAACTTTGTTCTTACTTGGCTCAAGTAAGCTTTTTTAAAAAAATATATATTTTATTGATTTTTTACAGAGAGGAAGGGAGAGGGAGAGAGAATTAGAAACATTGATGAGAGAGAAACATCGATCAGCTGCCTCCTGCACACTCCCCACCAGGGTTGTGCCCGCAACCAAGGTACATGCCCTTGACCGGAATCGAACCTGGGACCCTTGAGTCCGCAGGCCGACGCTCTATCCACTGAGCCAAACAGGTGGTTAGGGCTCAAGTAAGCTTTTTGAAGACAATGGAATGTTGTGGTCCAGAAGTGAAGTTCTGGAGGCTGCAGACTTGGGTTTGAATCTGCCACTGATTAACATTTACTTGGAGGAAGAATAGCATGATTGTTAACAATTTGAGCCAGGCTGCCTGGGTTCAGATCCTATACCATAATAACTGTGATCTCAGGCAAGTTACTTAACTTCTCTGTATCAAAGTTTCCTCATCCTTAACAAGGATAAGGTAATGATCGTGTCAACTTCATAAAATGATTAACTATGTGTGAAGCTCTCAGCACAGTGTCTGGTTCACAGAAGGGCTTCAGTGAATGCGAGCAATAAGTTTCTAGAGCATGACCCTGGGCATAGAGCTTTACTCCATGAACCATCTCTCCTTACCTGTAAAAGTATGGTAATAATACCTTTATTCGTTCATGCAACACTTACTATGGGTCAGATTCTCTTTTACAATGGAGTGGGGGTACAGTGATAAACAACACAGCCAGGTTTTCCTTATGGATTCAGCCCATCAGCAGAGCAATCGGTAAGTACATACACACAATAATTTATGAAGGGTAATCCATGCAGAGATGAAAGCTTGTGCAAAGGGGATTAGACCCATTAAGTGTCTCACCCTGGTCTCGAAGCCCACTCTGGCCTGAGTGCAGCCTTCTTGCATATGCTTGATCCATACACTTGGAGTACCCTTCTTCCCTCCTTCCATCTCCACCCTAAGCCCTGCCTGCCCTTCTCAGCCCAGCCAGGATTCTGGCATCTCTGGGAGATTGTCTCTGGCTGCCCCCTAACCATCTTCCCCAGTCTTTACTGTCCCATCCCACCTTTACCCCAGGTCCCAGCCCCCAAACCTCACTATCTTTTGACTATTGAGGGTGGCAGAGAGTCTCATTTCTGGAGGGAAAGTGGAAACCTCAAGAGTGGGCCTGGGATTAGTAGTTCTGGGTGCCAGGTTCATTCCCGCCATCACGATTTTGCTTATCCCATGCTGCCCTTCTCTATGTATTCCCTACATTCAAATTCTATCTGAAGACCGTGGCCCTGGACTCACCTCCTCCAGGAAGACCTCCTGACTGCCTCCACAGTTTCTAGCCCCTCTACCCCTTTCCTAGCCTGATCTGTCCTCCATCCCAGCTCCAAACCTAGACCATGTTTTCTGACCTTCCCCTGGTGGAGATTCTGTTCTCCCTACCCAGCCCAGGAAAACAGGTTACCAAAGGTGGGGTCAAGGCAGGGGGCCCAGAGTTTATCTTAAAGACACACCTGTGGGCCATCTCACCCTCAGTCCTCCGAGGCTCTGGTCCGCAAGGGCCACCTGACGGGGCTGAAGCCTGTGGTGCTGGTCATCTTCCAGTCCCCAGTTAACTTCCATCGCTGGAAGTTAGAACAGCTGCAGATCCAGATGGAGGCAGCCCCTTTCCGCAGCAAAGGTGGGCCTGCGGGGTGCCTGGAGGGGTGGGGGATTTCTGGGGGCCTCAGAGGGGTTCATGACTTGGAAGGGGAGGTTGGGGGCATCAGAGGAGTCCATGACCTGGTGGAAATGTGGGGTTTGTTGGGGGCCCTCAGTGAAATCTGTGACTTGGAGGAGGGGAGGGGGGGGGAGGCTTTAACAGGTTGCATGGCCTAGATGGGGCTACACAGAGGCCCCAGTGGGGTTCCTTGTGTAGAGCAGGACATGGGAAGTTGCATGGAGATCCCAGTTGCCTCAGTGCCCCCTGCTTACCAGCAGAGCAGTGCAGTGCAGAGGAGGTGTGTATCATGAGCTGGTACACACCCATGCCCGTCAAGAATGGCAGTGTGGTCATGCGTGTGGATGTCAGCAGCAATGGCCTTGGGCCCTTCATCCCCAATAAAAGGTGCCCTTCCCCACACCCAGGGTAGGGGGTGGATTCTGGGAGGGACTTCCTTATCTCCACATTCCCAAAGAAACCAGGAGGAGACCAATGGGAGGGAGTAGGCTGGGGAGGTGGCTGTGAGCTGTGGCAGGAGTCCCTGAACCCAAACCCTTGCCTGTGCCTGCCTCACACCGCTGCCAGGTTTCTGGTGAACATCAATGGCTTCTTGAAGAGAAAGCAAGACAACAGACTCCAGTTCACTGTGGGAAATGAGGTAAGGGGGCCTGGACAGTGGGCACAGAAGATGTGGGTTAAAGACAGTGGGCCGGGGCTCTGATTACTCCCCACACAAGTGGCACGCTCCACTTAGAGCAGCGGTCGCCAACCTTTCGGACCACCAGTGGCCCACGGACCACCAGTTGGCGACTGCTGACTTAGAGCACTTACTTTGTGCCAGGCCCCAGGTGAAGTGTTCTACTAAATGCACAATCACATTACATCTTCAACATTGACCCTGTGAGGGAAGGTACTCTTACACACCCATTTTAGAGAGGGTAAAACTGAGGCTTGAAAGGGATGGAACCATTTGCGCAGTCTCTCAGCATGTACATATGGAACAAGACCTGAAGCTGTGTCTGCCTGACTCCTGCACGCATATTCTTAATCAGAGTCCATTCATTCAGTCATTCAGCAAGCACTTACTGAGCACAAGGCATCCCCATGCGAACAAAACAGTGGACACACAGACCCAAGTCCCTGACCTCTTAGAGCTGACATTCTAGTGGGAGAGACATACAGCAAACCAGTAAACATGAAATCAAGTAAATTCTATGGAAGGTGAAAAGTGCTCTGGATAGAATTCAGACAGAGTGCAGTGGATAGGGTCTGTGCAGGAGGGGACTGCAGTGTTTGATGGAATGGTCAAGAAAGGTAGAATTGAGCCCTGACCAGTGTGGCTCAGTGGTAGAGTGTCAGCCTGTGCACCAAAGGGTCTTGGGTTTGATTCCCGGTCGAGGGCATGTACCTGGGTTGCAGGTTCTATCCCTGCCCTGGTCAGGGCATGTGCGGGAGGCAACCAATTCCAATTGATGTCTCTCTCACACATTGATATTTCTCTTTCTCTCTCTCTCTCTCTCCTTCTCTCCCTCTCTCCCTCTCTCCCTCCCTCTTCCCTCCTTCCCTTCCACTCTCTCTAAAAATCAATGGAAAAAATGTCCTCTGGTGAAGATTAATGAAAAAAAAAAAGAAAGAAAGAAAGAAAGGCAGAATTGAGAAGGCTGACATTTGAATAAAGCCTTGAAGGAGAAGAGGAGGGAATCATGTGGCTCCTAGGGGAAGAGCATTGTGTACAGAGGGAACAGCCAGTGCACAGGCTCTGAAGTGGGAATGTGCTGGGCAGTCTGAGAGCAGGAGGCCCATGTATCTGGGAAAGAGTGAGCTAGGGGGAGAGTAAGGGGGATGAGGTCAGTGAGGTGTGTGTGTGTGTGGGGGGGGGATTGTGTGGGGCCTTTGGTTAGGGAGAAGACTTTGGCATTTACCGTAAGTGAGATGAAGCCATAGGAGGGTGGGGGATGTTGAACAGCCTTCCTGCCCCTTCCCCCCGCAGCTCTTCAATCTGATACCCCGGTACTTTGTGAATGCCCCATCGAGGCCCCTGTGGTATACTCTGGACCAGACACCTGTGCTCATCCTGGGTGGAATTCCTGAGGAGAAGTCAGTTCTGTTGACTGACACCAGCTTTACGGACTTTTTTCTTGTGGAGGTGAGAGGTGCAAGGGAGGCAGTGGGCTGGGGCCTCTGGAAGGGTACTGGCCCTCTGCTCCTCAAGTGGGTTGCAGCCTTGGGCTATGGAGGGGGTCCCCAAAGACATTACCATCCCCATTAGAGGCAGATAGCATGAAGGAAGGACATATGACTCTGCAGCCAGACAACCTAGGATCAAATCCTGGTTCTGCTACCTCCTAGGCGTGTGACCTTGGGCAAGTCACCTCACCCACCCCGGCCTCAGATTTCCCTTCTGTAAAATGGGAATTATATTTACCTTATAGAATCAGTGTGAGGATGATATCAGTTAATATTAGCTGGACACCAATGAGCTATTATTATTTGTAGGTCCACCATTTGTAATTCTGAAACCCTAAAAGCTTTGAAAATGGTATTTTCACAAATTTAGGGCTCAAATTCATCTGTCAAGAAACTCTGACCTGAGCTAACAAAGGCTACTTAGTCTTTTTGCATCCCATGTAGTCTCAATATTCAGATTCTGCCCTGCAGAAATTTTAAGATGTTTGCTTATGGAGTGCTACCCCAGGCCCCAGTGGTTTACATATGAATGCTATATATGTGCCATACTATCTTCTAAACACTAAAAATTCTGAACCGCAATATACATCTGGCCCCAAGGGTTTTTGACTCAGCTTTGGGTGCCTATATTATTCCCAGAATGGGGAAAGAGTGTCTGAAGCAAGGTTCTTTTGGTGTGAATGAGAAACACATTTGAGCAGAGTTCCAACCCAGTTTGGTTTAAGCGGAGGAATAGATTTAGTAGATGCACCTAACTGCAAAGCCAGCACAGAGGAGGCTTCAGGCCTGGCTTGACACAGGACTTCAAATGAAGACTTCTGCTCCATTTCTTCTGGATTAGCTCTGTTCTCAAAGTGGCTCAAAATCCAACTCCCAGGGTGGGGAACAGTAGCATCACTTTCCTAAATAGCCTTTCAAAAATCCTAAAATGCATCTCCTTGGTCCTGATTGGTCCAGTTTGGGTCATGTGTCCCAAAATGATGGAATATGCCAGCTGGCTTAGCACAGGTCATGATCTCCATCTTTATGAGGAAAGCAGCTGAGACAAGAGGCAGAGAAAGAATCGTTCCCCAGAGTGAAATCAGGGTAGCTTTATCACAAGTTGAGGGGAGAAGATGCTGGTTGTTAATGGTGGCCAAGATAACAACTGTGCTCCATAGCAACCCCAAAAGGTTGTCTCAACCTCTTTCCATCAAGCTGAAAGCCCCACCCTTGATGTCTGAGAAGCCCATGTAGATTTACATTCTGGCTCTAAATTCCTGCTTTACTGAATTTGTTCAATTTATAGACCATCTCCCTGTCCTGTGTCAGCTTTCTCCCATCTGGGCCAAGTCTTTCCAGACATTGCTGTTTTCTCACTCCTGCTCCAAAGACACGCACAGGGGATATGTAGCTGATAGGGATTCTGCTGAAGAGATTTGGAGGGCAAAGAAGGAGGTTTACCTCACAGGAATGAAGAGTTCAATTTTAACTTCAGACACCCTTATAATTGTACTAGGGCCCCAGTGCATGAGGGGGCATCTCCCATGTCCAACTCCAACTGCTGGCTTAGGCCCACTCCCCAGGACCCCTTACTCCTTACCACCTGCCTGCTCGCTGCTCCTTAGCGCTGCTGCCACCACCGCTGCACTCGCCAGCCATGAGCGCAGCTTCTGACTGAGCAGCGCTTCCCCTGTGGGAGCACACTGACCACCAGGGGGCAGCTCCTGCATTGAGCATCTGCCCTCTGGTGGTCAGTGCATGTCATAGCCACCAGTCATTCCGCCATTCGGTCGATTTGCATATTAGGCTTTTATTATATACTAGAGGCCCGGTGCACAAAAATTTGTGCACTCGGGGGGGAGGGGGGGCCCTCAGCCCGGCCTGTGCCCTCTCGCAGTCTGGGACCCCTCAGGGGATGACCACCTGCTGGCTTAGGCCCGCTCCCCGGGGGATTGGGCCTAAGATGGCAATCAGATATCCCTCTGGCAGCCTGGCAGCCCTCGGGGGATGTCCACTTGCCAGCAGGGAGCAGGCCTAAACTGCAGTCAGACATCCTTAGCGCTGCTGAGGAGGCAGGAGAGGCTCCCACCACCACCGCTGTACTGGCAGCCATCAGCCTGCCTTGTGGCTGAGCAGAGCTCCTCCCATGTGAGAGCGCCCTGACTACCAGAGGGCAGCTCCTGCATTGGAGCGTCTGCCCCCTGGTCTTTCCTCTGTGTGCATGAGTGGAGAGAGTTCCCTGGTGTGCCTTCCTCTTCTTATAAGAACACCAGTCTAACAGGATTAGGGCCCCACCTTATGACCTCATTGTACCTTAATTATCTTCCTTAAAGGTCCTATCTCCAAAAACAGTACAGTCACCCGAGAGGTTAGGGATTGAACATATAAATTAGGGATGGGAACACAATCTCTCTATATAAAAGCCTACATAACTGTTACAACTGGATGGCTGGCCCGTAGCTATGATGTGCACTGACCACCAAGGGGGCAGATGCTCAATACAGGAGCTGCCCCCTGGTGGTCAGTGTGCTCTCACAGCTAACCTCTCATGGTCCCTCCTCCCAGCCAGCCGGCCCAGATCGGCCAGGCAGAGGGACCTCACCCATGCACGAATTCGTGCATTGGGCCTCTAGTTAGTCTATAACACAACATATTGCCAGTCTAAAAGCTTGATTAAATTTAGATTCAATCTTATAGGCAAGAACCCTGCATTGCTGGTGCTTTCCCACTGTTGGGGATATTGCCAGTGTTAGTGATCAGTCAATAAGTTCGGATAGTGTCAGCCTGACAGTCAATTGTGTTCCAAGTTAGAATAGGATTATTAAGTATGTGCCTTGGGCCAAGCATTGGATCTTTTGGGTCTACGTGGGTACAACACTCAGGGGCCATTGAATATTCTGTGTGCTGTTTAAATTTAGGGAACACACAAAGCTCCAGGCTCCTGCCTGGTCACCTCCTTCCCTTGTCCATGTTGAAGAAGTTTGGTCACTAAGGTGCTGCTGCAGGATGAGCAGGCAGCTGCATGTGTTCATCTGGAGTAGTTGTCAGAGCAGGACCCTCCCCTCAAGGCAGGATGTGGGGGCCGAGGCAAAGGCCACGTGCTCACCACTGGCTGTACTTCTCTGCAGTTGAGCATTGACAGTTGCTGGGTAGGCTCCTTCTACTGCCCCCAGGGTAACTTCACCGCCACCATCTACGATGCCATCGCCACAGAGAGCACGCTTTTTATTCGGCAGAACCAGCTCGTCTACTATTTTACAGGCAACTATACCATACTCCACGAGAGCAACCATGGCAGCGGTGAGGAGGTTGTGGCTGGGCCATGTGCCTAGGGGTCTGGACAAGGGAACTGCCTGTTGGAGCCCCAGGGGCTGCCTTAATGAACCCATCCACTGTGGCATCTGGGGCTGGGATTGCCAGTGGGGGAGGAGGGAGTGTTGGAGGGACTCTCCAAGGTCCTGAATCACCCTGCCCATCTGGGAGGGCATTTTCCCACTCTCTCTATGCTGGGGTGGGGCCTTCATCCAGACCTTCCCAGGAAGTGTGAGTCAGCTGGGGGAGGTTGAGAGTGAAGGAAGGGAGGGGAGAGAGAGAGAGAGAGACTGAGAAAGGCATACTAAGAGAGGAATTGGGTGTGGGGATGGGGAGAGGCATAGGGATCAGAGAGAGAGAGAAACAGAGATGGGCAAAGTCATGAAGAGAGAAAAAGGAAAGACTTGACTCAGCCTCATCCTTTAAATCAGGGGTGGGAAACTTTTTCTGCCAAGGGCCATTTGGATATTTATAACATCATTTGCATGCCATAGTAAATTATCAACTTCAAAATTAGCTTGCTGCTCTAGCTAGTTTGGCTCAGTGGATAGAGCATCAGCCTGCGGACTGAAGGGTCTCGGGTTCAATTCCAGTCAAGGGCACGTGTGTGGGTTGCAGGCTCGATCCCCAGTAGGGGGCGTGCAGGAGGCAGCTAATCAATGATTCCCTCTCATCATTGATGTCTCTCTTTCTCCCTCTCCCTTCCTCTCTGAAATCAATAAAAATATATTTTAAAATATATACCAGTATTTAAAAAATTAGCCTGCTATATTTGGTCAAACATTCAATTAACTCACCCCTAATGCTGTTGCAGGGCCAGATCAAATGATTTCAGAGGCCCAAGGGCTGGACATCCTCCACCCCTGTTTTAAATGGGAACACTTAGTTCTTCTAGGTTTTCCCCCCAATTCAAATGAGAGATGTCATTTGGACTTAGGGTCACTTGGACTTACAGGGTCACAGGAACTTGGCATCACCTATATTTCATTAGTTAATGCATGTTCTCAGCTCATTTTTCTTCCTTTCTTACTTAGGACACTTGGCCAGTGGGAGGAACCAAATTAAAATGGGCTCAAGCCAAAAAAAAGGGGGTGTTTTCTCAGCTTAGATAGCTAAAATACAAAACAAACCAGGAACATGTTGGTTTCAGGCATAGTTGGATCTAGGGACTCACTGTAGCTGTTAAACAGGCCCCTCTTGTGATGGCCATGGTGACTCCCAGAAACTGCAGACTTTTATACCCTCAGGGGCCCCAGGAAAGAGCATCTCTTTGTTAGTGGTTGCAGGTTCAGACTGTCTCTGATTTGTCCTGCTTGGTCACAAGCCCAGCTCAGAATCAATGGCTCTGGCCAGGGGAATGCAAGGGTGGGGTCAAGCCCAATCGGAACCTCAGAGACAGAATGTGAGTCAGGAGGATTTTCTCAAAGGCAGCTGGAACCCTACGCTAAAGGTCCCTCAGTCAATACACTGAGCAGCTGCTCCAGGGAGAGAGGATGATAACAGGTTCATTAAGGCCAGGGAAAAGTGGATGCAGGGCCCAAGTCCAAATACCTGGGCCTGAGGCCCCATGCTGGCCACTGCAGAGAGCTGGGTTCGTGTACTGCCCAACGAGTGCATCAAGAAGCTGTGCCCCGTGCATTTTCATGGAAATGGCTCCGAGTACATCATGGCCCTCACCACTGGGAAGCACGAAGGTTATGTCCACTTTGGGACTATTACAGGTAAGGGTGGGGGCCTCTGGCAGCCCAAGAAACTCCTCCATTCCCTCTCACCTCCAAGAATTCTGACCTTGGGCTCTAACCCTTCACTACGTGCCTTCAGAAGGAGTCCCATGGCCTAGCCAGTTTGGCTCAGTGGATAGAGTGTGAGCCCGAGGACTGAGGGGTCTCCAGTTTGATTCCCAGTCAAGGGCATGCACCTCGATCCCTGGCCCCGGTATGGGCATGTGTGGGAGCCAACCAATTGATGTGTATCTCTTACATCGATGTTTCTCTCTTTGTCTCTCTTTCCCTCGCTTCCACTCTCTAAAAATCAATGGAGCCCTAACTGGTTTGGCTCAGTGGATAGAGCGTCGGCCTGCGTACTGGAAGGTCCCAGGTTCGATTCTGGTCAAGGGCATGTACTTTGGTTGCGGGCACATCCCCAATGGGAGGTGTGCAGGAGGCAGCTGATCAATGTTTCTCTCCCATAGATGTTTCTGACTCTCTATTCCTCTCTGTAAAAAATCAATAAAATATATTTAAAAAAAATCAATGGAAAAATATCCTCTGGTGAGAATAAACAAAAACAAACAAACAAAGTCCCAGGCTGGAGGTTGGTCCTAGGACTTAGGCATTTGTAGGGATAGTGCCTGGGGTGTATTATGTATCTTATATTATTTGTTTGGTTTCAACAGGCATAAGTTAAATTCAAAAATTAGTTAGGCATAAAGAATTTGTGGACTTATAAGTGAAAAGACAAAGTGCCAACTTCAGGCATGGCTGGATCCAGGGACTCATAGGGTATATTGTCAAGACTCTGTCTCTTGGCAAGATAGTATAGCATAGTGATTATGGCACAGGTCTAGAGAGAAACTGCTTCAACACTCCCAACCCAAGTCACCTGTGGTATGGACAGGTGACTTATCCTCTCTTTTTGGCCTCATTTAATCAGAAAAATTGGGCCAATAATACTACTAGTACTTGCTTCACTGTGTTGATATAAAGATTAAATATATGTTGGCATCCATAAAGGTCTTAAAATAGTGCTAGGGACATGGTGAGTGCTAGGAAAGGGATTACTATTATGAGCCCTGTGATTTAGCTTCATCTTAAGGTAGATGCTCCTCTTGTGGGGGTTAAGGAGGGCTCCCAGGAACTCGAGGATCTTCTCCCACAGGCGTGAGTCACCCAGGAGAATGAGAGCAGCCTCTTCCTCATTACTCCTAAGGGTGCACTCTGATTGGCTGATTCTTAGTCATGTGCCTGAACCTGAACCAATTACTGTGACCAGAGACAGACATACTCTGATAGGCCAGGTGTGAGTGGCTGAAAGGTCAGGGGGTAAGACCTGTCCCCTGAAATCCGTAGGCCTGAGGAAGTGGGTGGGGGCACCGGCATTCTACTGTGGTGGGATGCCTGTTGGGCTGAGAATGGGAAGGGCCTGAACATAGAACTGTCCTGCTCCGCAGATGGCCTTGTTTCCTTCCAGATGCTGCCCAGGCAGCAGTCCGTGTGCGAAAGGATACAAGGTATCCATGTCCCAAATGAGTCTGCCGTGGGTGGGTGTGGGGATCTAGGGCATGGGAGAGCAGGAAAGGGTGGGAGAGGTCACAAGGAAGGAAAAGGACGGGCAGTGTCATGGGGAGAGGTGAAGAGTTTACAGGGATGAGATGGGGTGGCAGTCTCAGAGAGGGAGGAGGTGATGGAGAGGGCTGGGCTCGGGGCTGCTCTGGACCTCCCCTTCCCTTCCAGTTGCCATCTGCTCCATAACCTGGGCTGTATACACTGAGATTAACTACAACCTACTGCTGCTGGTGGAGATTGAAGACACTGCTGCCAGGAAGTATTTCCAGATGGTCGGCTACAACCTGGGTAATTGGGGTACTATGGATGGGGGCTTGAGCGCACAGCAGACAATGGGAGGGAAATGTTGCTCGTGTCACTCCTAGGTAAGGGGTGGTGGTGGCGAACAGGCTTGGTGGGTTGGAGGAACTGAGAGGAAATCAATGTGACTAGAACAGAGCAGGAAAGAGAAAGGAGGGTGATGAAGACTGGAGCAGAAGCCTGATAAGGAAGGGCCTGTGGCTCACAGTAAGGAGATTTGGTTTTATTTTACCTGAACTGAGAATAGGGTGCCCTGTGCAGTTGAATAGGCTGTGCCCTGCACTCCCCAGTCAAGGGGCTACAGGAGGCAAGTCCTGTGCCCTAACTGGATGTATCTTTTCAGAGGTGGTGCGTTTTTAGAATTCATGTAAAGAAATAGTAAAGGCCAAGAGGCCTGAAGGGGAAGCCATTGCAGGGTTTTTGGGAGGAACTGGGAAGCTGGTGACTTGCCTAGTTTCAGGTTTTTGAAAGCTCAAAGCCTCAGGAGATTTTGCTGTGTTCTCTTCACCTGCAGTCAATGATTACCTGTCCATTCTCTACACCATCCCGGAATTCATTCCTGATGGTAGGAGGGGAAGGTAGAGGGGTCCTCAAAGGTGAGTGGGAGCCAGGAGGGATCCTGCCTCACTACTGTGTCCACTCTGCCTCTGCCCCCGCCAGCTCGAGGCCTGGAGTTCCTGATGATCCTAGGGACAGAGTCTTACACCAGCTTCCCGATGGTGCCCAAGGGCATGTCCTACAACTCATTTAATAATCTGCTGTTCATCTGGGGTAACTTCCTCCTGCAGAGGTAGGGGGCTGGGCATATTCTGCTTCCCCCGCCCCATGAGGGGTGGGGGGTGGGTCCTTTCTAAAGTCACCAAGTTTTCAGTTTGCCCAAGTCCCAAAGTTATGAGGACTGTAGTGGGGAAAACACAGGCTGGGGTGGCGAGGGCTAGAATGGGGGGAACTAGGGGAGCCCTCATGTGAGGTCCGAACCTATGTGAGCAATAGAAAGAATTGTCTGGGGAAGGTTAGGGCACTTTTCACCCCTCAGGAACCTAGGAGCCCCTGAGCCAACTCCATGGGCGGTTGGCAACATGCCAGGTTGACCGAATCCTCCTGTTTACAGATGGAAAGGTCCCCCAGAGGGTTTGGAATCAAGGGCAGAAGCTAGAATCACAGGTTTCCTTTTCATGTTCTCACAAAGCTAGTGGAGAAGTGAGAAAACAGCTCTTGTTCAGCTTGGTTTGGGGGAAACATATCTTCCAGGGGCCTTGCCTGAGTGCTCCTAGCTTCCATCTCTACCCCTGCAGTTATGACACTGAAAACTTCATCTACCTGGCGAACTTCCCCAAGGAGCTATCCATCAAGTACATGGTCAACTCATTCCATGGAGACATAGCTATTGTCACTGAGACTGAGGAGGTGGGCTGCCCTGCTCCTCTCCCCACTTCCTCTCTGTCCACCCCAAAGCCCAGAAGTCTCCCTTCTCCCCCTGCCACGGTAAAGGGGCCAAGGGGAAGGAACACCCTCAGGGACTGTGGGGAAGGGCAGCAGAAGCTCTGTTTACAGCTGAGAACACTGGAGCTCAAAGAGGCTAAGTGTCTTCCAAAGTTCCTCAGCAGAGTGAGAGACCTGTGCTCAGACTTATATGATCTGATTTCCTGGGGGTGCCCTCTTTTATTTCATCAAGCACGTGTTCCTTTCATAAACATGCAGCACTTACTGGAGGCCTGGCCCAGTGCTGGGGCACAGTGGCAACTGAGTCAGCCCTGGGCCCTGCCCTCACAGGGTGTCAGGCCAGTTGGGGAAGACAGAGTCATTCCCAGACAGTGACAGTTGAGAGTGGTCAGGCTGCAGCAGGGGAAATCACCTAGGGATGTTCAGAGAAGGGGCCCGACCTGGCCAGGGTGTGTGTGTGTCAAGAATGGCCTCACAGTGGAGGCCACATAGACGGGGGACATCCTGGAAGCTGAGGTTCAGGAGGAGGTGAGATCCAGAGTCAAATGTACTGGGGACATGGGGGCTGGGCATCAGTGCAGAGATGGGAAATTAAGGCTGATGATCCTAGGGACAGTCTTACACCAACTTCCCGATGGTGCCCAAGGGCGAAATTGAAACCCTGGAGAATGAGAAGAAAAAAGGAAAGCTCAGCCCCAGGAAGCCCATCCATTAGAGAGTATATGTATCAGGAATGCTTACATCAGCAGACAGAAACACTGAGCAAATTATGGTGAGTGGGAGCTGGAGGCAGAAATGGTGGGTTCTGGGAAGTAGAGAGGTGGCACTACAGAAAGAAGGGGTGTGAGCTCACCTGATTCCAGCTGGAGGTGAGCTCCCAAGCCTCACCCCTCAAGGAATGGGGCCATCACACTTGGCAGAGGAAGAGGGGGGTCAGAGGTCCCATGGCCCTCACACACACAGCTGTTGCACCTCCAGATCTGGTACCTCGTGGAGGGCAGTTATCACGTGTACAAGTTGTTCCCATCCAAGGGCTGGAATGTGTACATCAGCCTCCAGGTGATGCAGCAGTCCTCTCTCTATGCTTCCCATGAGACCATGGTCACCCTCTTCTATGAAGACAGCAATCTGTACCAGGTGCTAGTCAGGGGCTATGAGAGACTTGGGGGGGGGGGAGAGGAGGGACAGAAGGGTGGCTGACACCAGCTTATCTGGCCCTGCCTTCCCACTGCAGCTGGTGTACCTTGTAAACAACCAGCAGGGCCAGCTCATCAAGAGGCTTGTGCCTGTGGAGCAACTTCTGATGCACCAGCAGCTCAGTGACCCCTACTCCTTGCAGCAGCAAAAGTGAGAAGACACTGGATGGACCAGCAGTAGTCAGAGAGCCCCAAACACTTCCCACACAAAGCTCCCATTCCATGGGGGGTTGAAGGGAGACCAAACCATCCCCAACTAACAACCTTAGGGCTATGATGTGCGAGGTCGGGGTGAATGGAAGTTCAAAGAAGGCATTTAACCCAGTCAGGGAGGGAGCACCAGGGAGAGCTTCAAAGAGAAAGATGTACATGAGCTGTGAGGAAGGATTGGCCAGATAATAAGATGGAGGACGTTGTTCCAAACAGGGGGATTCATGTTCAAAGACCCTGAGAAGGAAAGGAGCCTGGGTTTTTGAGAACTGAAAGTGTAGTACAGATAGAGTGCAGTGGTGGTGGCAGGGCAGACAAGGTGAGCCAGTGGCCATAGGGAGGAACTTCATCTTGAGGGCCCTGGAAAGCTATGCTGGGATTAAGGGGAGGGGCTGCCTGGTCAGATTTTACTGTTTAATAGTAATCCTCTGGTCACCTGCGGAGGAGCCCGGGGATGGGCGGGGTGGAGAAGGGGAGGTGGAAGGACTCTTAGGAAGGGGAGGAGAGTCTAGGAGGAGATCCAAGACTCTGGTCTGCGGCTGAGGAAGAGCAGGACTGGATTGGATTTGGGGAGTCAGCAGCGCAGGGATGGGAAACAGGCCGGTGGAGGCTCTTGGGGCGCAGGGCGCAGAAAAGTAAGCGGCCAACCCCCACTACCACCGCCCAGGAGTCACCTGGAACTCTCCTTCACCAACTTCTGCCCCTTCACGGTGATGCGCCTGCGGGACCTGCCCGACCAGAAGACCTACACGCGCCAGGAGCTCTACCGGGCGCAGCCGCCGCACATCCTGGAGCCCTCGGGCTTCCACACCGAGAACTCACTCGCTGTCTATCAGGGCCTCGTCTACTACCTGCTCTGGCTGCACTCCAAATACCACAAGGTGGGCGCCTGGGGCAGGGGCTGTCCCCGCCGGGGCTTTGAGAGGAACTGCGGAGGCCCAGAAGGCCAGGTCTGTGGAGCTGGAAGAACGGCCGCGGAGGGTGGAACAGAGCGGAGCAGCCTGGTATCTGAGGCTAAGCGGGGACTGGGAGATGGCGTTCCGGCTCTGGCCGGGGGGCTGGATGCAGGGCGGGCCAGGTTGTATTTTGCTTTGGGTTAGGAGCTGGGACTGAGGCTGGGCAGAGGTCTGGGAATGTCGTCTGCCTGTGGACGCTCCGCTCCGCCCCCTCACGGTGCTGACGGTCTCTGCAGCCTTATGCCGACCCCGTGCACGACTCCACCTGGCGTTGGTGGAAGAACAAGAAACAGGACCAGGTGCGTGGAGAGCGTTGCAAGTTGGAGGAGGGGCGACCCCACCTCCCACTCCGCCCGCCCTGTCCGGCTCCTCACTCAGGGTGCTACCTTTCCCTGCCTCCCATGCTCCAGGACTACTACTACTACCTGGTGAGCAACGGGAAGAGTGCGGGTAACGTGCACATTGACATGGCCAACTACAAAAAGGTCTACGACGTCAAGACTGAGTACCAGCTGCCGGAGCGCATCTTCCTGGATAAGGGCACCAGCTACAGCTTCTCCATCTTCCTGACCGCCCGGGGCCACTCGATCAAGAATGAGCTGGAGCCAGGTCTGTGGGCAGGGCCTGAGTGGAGTCGGAGTGGCGGGGGCGGGGTGGCTGGGACCTGGGCACCATCTGGGCCGGGTCTGGTTCTAGGCCTTAAACCCTTCTATGCCCCGAGCAGGCAACCTCTTCCAGCTGCTGAGCCAGGTGGACCTGGGCGTGGTGCTGGCCGACCCCAGCTGCATTGAGGCGGTGGTGAAGCAGCAGGTCCTTATTAAACGCAACTCAGTGCTTTTCAGGGTGAGGACAGGTGGTGAGGAGGTGTAGGGACAGATTTACCCAGGCAGTGGACTTGTGGGAAGTTCGTGGTTCCTTAAACCGTTCCTAGATCTTTGCGCATGCCTGTCAATCCCTTCGTTTTCGCCCCCCACCCCAGGTTATGCTCCGTGATAAAAGTGTTTGCTTTGACCAGGGCATTAGTGGCCATCACCTCATGAAGACGGCCATGCTGGTCAAGGTACGGTCCAAGCCTGGAGAGGAGGGAAACAGGATGAGGGGAAAGGCTGGTCCCCTGGGACCCACCCTCATCACCTGATCCCACCCACAGGTGGTGGGGTCAGCTGGGCACTGCGTCCAGAACACGATCCAGGGGCTCCGCATGCAAGTATTGAACCTTGGGGTATTGGGCCCAGTGCTGGGTGGGAAAGGGTTGGGCAGAGTGGAAGCAGGGCTGATTCTGTGTGCTCCCCTGGGAGTCCCACCCACCCACCCACCCACTCCTTTCATTCATTTCTGTTTTCAGAAAAAGCTGCCTTTATAGTTATGTAGATTGCACCCAAGTTTGCATGTTCCTTCTAATACTTTTCTGCAAGGGGAAGTAAAATACCTGTGACGTGGGCTTCCTTTTCCAATTGGCACAAAGGCACCATGTGGGCCAGCTTGGCCCTTTTCCCACATGTTGCTCTTCATGTGCCCACTTACATGTGCTTTGATCACTCCTTTGGGTCCTTGGTTCTTCACTTACTTGCACATGCAATATCCCCTTTGCACAGAGGCAGAAACTGAGCCTCAAAGAGATGCAGACATCTGCTCATAGTAACTCAGGGAGCTAACAAGTGGTAGCGGAGGGACCTGACCCAGAGGCATTGTTGTCACCCACCTCCCTACACACTAGCCAGCAGACAGACCCCGGTGCTCCTCCCTCCTGGCTTGGTATGACCGAGGGCAATAAAAATGGGTTGTAACAACCTCAACACTTGGATTAAATGAGATAATTTGGGTCAAGTGCAGGATAGAGCAACTCACCTCAGTCTCCATAAGTGTTTCTTGCTATGCTTAGTGATATGCATTATTTATCATAACCTGAAAAGGTCAAAGTTAACATCCCCATTTTGACCTGGAAGATTCCTTCTGGGAATCTAATCTATAACACACAGCAAAGGGTAGAAAACAAATGTCCATGAATAGGGGAGTGGTTAAATAAATTATAGTACATCCAAGCAATGAAAACCTATGCAGCTATAAAAAAAGAAAGAAAGATCTTCATATACTGGTGTGGAATGGTCTCCAAAGTGTATTTTATTCTTAAGAGGAAAAAAGCAGGGTACACAACAGTATATACAAAACATTAGCGTGAAATAGGTTCATTGAGAACATATACTCATGTTTGCTTTTATTTGCATGAAGAAACTTCAGGGAAATGGGAAAAAAATATACTCGAGGTGGTTCTCTACTCTGGTGATAGAGAAGAGGCAGGATAGTTGGAGGATGGAAATGGAAACTTTTGCTGTGTGTGTGTATCTACATATATTCATACGTGACCATGTTACCCATCTAAAAATGAAGTTTTGCCCTACCTGGTTAGGCTCAGTGGATAGAGCGTCAGCCTGCAGACTGAAGGGTCCCAGGTTTGATTCTGGTCAAGGGCATGTACCTTGGTTGCGGGCACATCCCTAGTAGGGGGTGTGCAGGAGGCAGCTGATCGATGTTTCTCTCCCATCAATGTTTCTAACTCTCTATCCCTCTCCCTTCCTCTCTATAAAAAATAAAATATATTAAAAATGAAGTTTTAAAATAAGCCAATGATTTGCCCTGGCCAGTGTGGCTAAGTTGGTTGGAGTGTTGTCCTATACACTAAAAAGTTCAGAGCACATACCCAGGTTGTGGATTTGATCCCGATCAAGGTGCGTGTGGGAGGCAACCGATCAATGTTTCTCACACTGATGTTTCTCTCGCTCTTTCTTTCTCTAAAAATCAATTTTTTTAAAAAAAGCAAATGACTTTTAAAAAGATAGGAAAACAGAGGTGCTAAAGGTAGTCTGAACTTCTTTTTCTTTGTATTCTCAGGCTGTTGCCTTTCCGGTTTCTAGCCCCCATCTCCCCCCCACCTCCCCTATACACACACATTACCAGATCAAGAGGCATGTGTATTTAGAAGGCCTGGAGCCTCTCTCTTGCTCCCCATCCTGGAAAAGAATGGAAACTGGAACTAATTGATGAACAGTGGGTTTTCAATTTGTAAATATCTTGGATGAAGGAAGGAAGAAATGAATTTACACATAATAGGTGCTCAATCAAATTTGGTTAGATGAATAAAGGCTTGCAGTGTCTCTTAGCAGGCCAGATCCAAACATGGGCCTCCTTGGGGGATGGAGCTGGGACTGGGGTCAGGGGGATAGACCAGGAATAGACTTCACTCTCTGTATCCAAAGCTTACTAATTCATTCAACCAATATTTATGGAGTGCCTACTACATTCCAGCATTGTTTTAGGGGCTAGAGTTATAGCAGTGAACAAATAATTTCTGCCCTTGTGAAGCTGATGTTCCAGTGGGGGAAGTGTATTCATTCCTAGGTCTGCCATAACAAATTACCACAAACTGGGAAGCTTATTCTCTCCCAGTTATGGAGAACAGAAGTCTAAAATCAGGGTTGGTCCTTCTGGAGGTTCTGAGGGAGAATCTGTTCCAGGCCTCTCTTCTGGGTTCTGGTGATTATTAACAATACTTGAAATTCCTTGGCTTATAGATGCATCACTGAAATCTCTGCCTTCATTTTCACAAGGCCTTTTCCCTGTAAGTCAGTGTCCAAATTTCCCTCATGTTATAAGGACACCAGTCATTAGATTAGGGCCCAGCCTAGTCCAGTATGATTTCTTCTTAACTATTTTTTTTATTGATTTCATAGAGGGAGAGGGAGAGAGAGATAGAAATATCAATGATGAGAGAGAATCATTGATTGGCTGTCTCCTGAACGCCCCCCCCCGCCCCAATTGGGGATCACAACTGTAACCTGGGCATGTGCCCTAGACTGGAATCGAACCTGGGACCCTTCAGTCCATAGGCTGACACACTATCCACTGAGCCAAACCAACTAGGGCTGACTTCATCTTAACTTGATTACATCTATAAAGACCCTATTTCAATTAGGTCACATTAGCAGTTACCAGGGATTTAGGA